GGAACAGGAAGGAAATGAGTGGCATGGATGCACTCCACCTCTGATTCTGTGGCTGATTGCTCATATTCCTCTGAATAAGCTCTTGGCAGGGTATCAGCTAGCAGCATCTCCTTGCCAGGCTTGTAGTATATCTCGCAGTCATATTGTTGAAGCCGTAGGCACTGTAGTCTTTTGAAAACTGATGCCAGAGGCTTCTGCAAAGTGGAGACTAATGGTTTGTGATCTGTCCAGAGGATGACCTTCTGAACATACACATGGTGGTGGTTGTCTTCCATGCCGAAGATCTGAGCCAGCAATTTCTTTCACATCTGTGAGTACTTCCTTTCTGACAGTGTGGGTGCTCTGCATGCAAATGTCACAGGTTGGGCTAGCTGCATCAGTACAAAGCCAAGTCTATCTTTAGATGCATCTCCTTAGCCTTCAGTTGGGTCACTCTCACTGAAGTACTTGAGTACTAGCGCTTCATGGAGACAGCATCTTTCATCTTTTCAAAGGCATCGACCTGTTCGTGAGTCCAATTCCACTCAGCTTTCTTGTGTGTTAGACCGCGCAGTGGCTCACACAGTTCTGATAGGTCTTGTAGGAACTTAGAGAGATACTTTACAAGCCCAATGAATCCCTGTACTGCGGGGACATCTGTCGCTCCATCTCAATTATTGCTTCGACTTTCTTAAGATCTGTTTTAAGCCCATTCCTTGTCATTACATGCCCGATGAATAACACTCCACTGTACTTCAAATGGGACTTCTGTTCAGCTTGATATTTCTTACTCTGCAACGATCAGGGAGGTTCCTCAGATTTTGGGTGTGGTCAAGGTCAGCCTTTTCATCAGTGTCTCCCTGCCCAATGATGAGTAGAAGCACCTAATGAAATTAACGTGTGGACAGCAAGTTCTACTAAACTCTTCTAGTCCTGCTACAAGTGTTAGGTTGTCTGCGAATTCAAGCTTGGTAAGATGTCGCTTACCCTTGGCAGGGCTAATGGAAGAAAGGTGACCATTGCTTTTTTTAACTTTTGGTCTCTCAATGGAACTCAAGTTCGGACGAATTTGAGAGGTTTCTTGATACATGTAGGCAAATAAGTTCTGCTCTATTATACTGAATTCACAGCTGCTATGTTAGAAAAAATCCAAACATTGTACATACTGCAAGAGTAGTGTAGGATGTTACAAGAGGCAGTACCTTACAGGAAGTTCTTTTGATTGGTCTTTGACTGAAAAATGTTTGATGTTTTTGCATCCCTAGTCGATTGTGGGAGGTGATCACTTACAATGTACAAGAGTTGGTTTCACATGAAACTTATCATTAATGTACAAGATCGAGTTGGTTTCACATGAAACTTATCATTAACAGTTATGTTATGGGAAGGGAGGTAAGAGGCTGGTATTTTGATTTTGTCAAACACAAAATGCAGGTTCCATGTTTAGTACATTTAGGGGTGGGTCTAGGGGGGGGAATTGTGAGCCACGGGTGGATAAGTCACTTTTGTACCCCATTCTCAAATGCTTCAGCCCACCAACCCCATACTTAATACCTGCCAGATGAAGTATCAACAGGTCCTAATGTTGATCCATTATCTTTGCAGATTTTGTACCCAAAGATGCTCTATTCAGAAGGGAGGTCAGGTTTTCTACGGACAGAACCCCATCACAAAACAATATTTTCACAAATTAAGGAACTAGAAAAGGAAAACGATTGCGTCGTGATAGTTGGTTCAGTCAATCAACGTTTTGTAGTATTGATATTAACATTAGGAAAGAGAGGATAAGGGTAGGGATCAAATCATAAAGATCTGTAAATGTTTAGTACTTGTATACGATGGTAGGCAGTCAAAAGGAAAAATTGTATCTTTACTTAATTGTTGGGTTCCTCATAAGAGTCAGGTAATTTTCAAAGATACACCTTAACTTTTTAACCAGCTTTTATTAAATTGCTCCAAATTTAAGGTGGCATTTTTCCTGAAAAATTAATTTTATCGGCGTGATTCCTCAAATTTCTGTCATTCATCGTTCATTATTAAATCAAGTGTCAAAAAACTAACAAACTTGAGGGATGAATTCTTACAGCTTGGATATTTGTTCTCATAACCTTTAATCCTGGGAGAGATTTTACATGAAATGGTACTAATTGGGAAGTCAAATGCTAGGTGCTTTCCTTTTTTATTTGCTAGCAATTTTGACTTTTTTTGGAGACATTTTCCAGATATTTCACTCTGAAATTTTTATCCTACCCATAAATGTCAACCATAAAAAATGAACCTAGTTATCTATTTTACTTGGGCTTGGGTAACATTCCTATTGAATGAAATTAAGATAAGAACTTAAAACCTCACTTAAGTCCAGGTTTCCATGTAATATCCTTTATATCCTAGACGCTATGATAAACCATGAATAGGACTAAGGTTACCTAATAGTTCCAGGGTTGTTGCCGGTTAAATACCACAAGTAGGCGGGGATTAAGCGGCTAGGGATTTCTTTTGATCCTATTTTTCTTGTATTTTCGTATGAAAGTAGCTGGGGACCACATTCATAGTGGCCGGAGGAGATCCCCAGCCCCCAGCTCTTAATGACAGCCCTGCCAATACACTGTAAGCATTAATTATTATTATCATTATGTACTTGGGATGGATTTCTTCAATTTAGATCTTAAGCGGGTTTCTCCCTCGTCTTCAGTGTAAAGCAACTAAAATAAATGTGCAAAATTAAGTGCTCTTTAGTATGGTCCTATTGTATTTTATAAATTGGTATTTTTTGTATAACGTCTCTTCAGCAGTTGTGCATGTGTTGCTATTATTTCTACGTATCTCCATCACCAAGGCTGGTGAAATCACGTACCAAACATAGTGCATTAACTTACTGGGAAAATGGCATATCACATGGATTTTTTTTTTCAGCCATAAACTGAAACTTTAAAAGAGAATAGCATTCTTTGTATGAAAAGTTCTTGACCCTTTCCTGAATCAATTGTGCTCCTCTCATACTTACAGTATCTGAATGTTTCCTTATATAGTATAGATGCCAACCTGTGGGGAATCTTGTCGCTGTTCACTTCCTTTTCTCTCAGGGTACAGGGGTATCAAGACATGCATGAGAAAGGAACGATTTTATATTAAGCCTATGGAAGGGTTAAAAGCATGCAGTTTTTTCGCTGATGTATAGACTGAACCAGAGCCACTTTTGTAAGGGTTAGTTAACTAGTTGCTTTTATATTCATCTATAACTGGAGGTTTGACAGTGACTGTGGTGGATGGCCATGGTTTTATAACGAGTTCATCCACCCTTAAATAGGTCCCCCTGCGTGCCCTCGTACCCTGCTTGACCACAGGCGGGCTGTTTCTGTCCAGTGGAAAGGATCGATCGTTCTATTTCATTTTCCATACAAACAGCCGAGTGTTCGTCAAGGAGCATCGTAACAGATTGTGAAAAAGCAAAATAATGCGGTCAAATTCTAAGGTAGAGGCTCTCGAAATTAAATTTTGAGCCAAATTTAATTCTTACAATTTGTAAAAGCATGTATTAAAAAGGACATTGCTTTATAGATATGTTCTGTGGGAGAGTGTATCTGGTTTTTTAGAGGTTCTTGGTGTTTAAACAGAAAAAGGGTGTCATTTTAGATGGCAAGCTAAACTGAAACGAATAATCAGTCAAGAGTAATAGCGTAGGAACGAAATCGTTGTGTCCTATTCATACATTTCTTAGCTTTCATTTTCTCCTTGAAGTTACAAGTTGGCATTTTGGGAGGATTTCGACCTTGAATAGGATTTTTTTGTTGTTTTTTCTTTATCCTCAAATAAAGTCAGAGTTTATGAACCTCTGTGGCACGTGCACACACATACACACACACACCTATAATTTACATTAAGGGGACGTTACGAAAATTTTACAGAAGTCTTGCTTGTCATAGTCTACATAAATAAAAATCTTCCAGAGGACTTGCGACTCAAAATCACGTGAAATGAAGTGGTATGATCACGAGTATCTGTTATTAATTTAAGTTCTTTACTGGTCACGAAAATCCTTTGGTTCACGGATCACGAAGAATAATTTATTAAATTCATGTTTCACGGAAAGTAAAATCAGCGAATCACGTATCATGAAAATACCCCTGTATGACCCTCTTTACGAGATTTTTTCTCTTGCAAGAATTCCAATTTCTTTTTTTTTCATAATAGCCTACGCCTTCCCCCACAAAAATAATTAAATGGTCCGTCCCTAACAAGGCTCAAGGCTTCAGGGTAGATTTTAAAACATTAGCTCAGTGCTGAACCAGGCTGTATGGCAATTCACCCCATCCTTCCGCTATTCCTTGGCTTGCCCTTTCTTCAGTTGCAAAGATCAGAAGTAGCTGTTTAATCTGACAAACTTACTTGAAATGTTTTGTTGAAAGCTGGATATTTTTCATTAGTGAACTCTCCTACAACCCCCCTCCTCCCATCAAATGTAGTGATTGGTTTGTGATAGGAATGAACTCAATAAGATTATTCACACCTTAAATTCAGAAGCACATTCAAAACATGAAGACGTTAGTTATTTTATTTTGTAACCTCTTAATTAATCTATTGATCTGATAAAAACTGTCTAGGAGATACTTATGAAACAGAGGACATTTTCTGTGTTTACCATAGCCTCATCTAAACACTAGGGGGTTTGGAAGAATTCGAGACGCACTTGAGGGTTTGCACAACTTTCAAAAATTCTCCCGATCCCCAAGTGTTTAGATGAGGCAATGTAAACACGACAATAGTCGTCTATTGCTTTCATAAAATCGTTCTAAAAAATACAAACGAAACTAAAATGTTACAACTGTGTTTACATACTCTCATCTAAACACACCTATTAATCAATGAGAGAATGTGTAGCATGTCAGTTAAATTAAGTGCAGTCCTACAGGCTTGCATTGGTTTAAGCTCAAAATCGCTCAAGCAACTGTTTAGATTTGCTTCTCGCTTACAAGGTATACTCAGTACATAATTAGGTGATTACACGGCTTTCTAAAGGTTACAAGCTGTGGAAAGATTTCTAATCCTCTCTAAGAGTGTCTTCTTTGAACAAGCCTTATGGCGTTGGAGTTGCTCCTAGACCCAAGCAACTAGCGACACATGCACCACATCCCCCTCCTACAGCTATGAAACAACCTGCAGAAGCTAGGATCCCCAATGGACCTGCCAGTACTATCCCAAAGGGAAGGCCTGCAGGAACAACCATTTGACATTTTTTTAAAGTGCTACTATAATCAACTTTTTACACCTTGTTTTTTATTTTAATGGATCATGTAGTACTTCATGTAAGATTAAAAACGTCGTTTTCCATTTTCAAATATTTGTCGTAGTTCCCGAGATATTTAAGCTTAAAAAAATGGTAAAATATGCAAACATATTCGTGGACCTGGTCATTTCAGTGTAGCACCCCAGGGGCACTCTTGCGACCCCTTGTAAACTTTCGCCACTAGGTCTCCGAGGATGAGTGAGAGTCTGAGAGTTGGATCATTATCAGACTTAAACTATAAGGGCGAGTCTTTGGGTCTTAGGGATCTTTATTTTCACCTGGCTTAAGTAAATCTAGACTAAACTAGGGGTCTTTAGGGTCACGACCCACCCCAAAAGGCATAAGCCTAAAGTTTTGGCATAATTTATAGCATGATGAAGTCCACCCCATAATTTTAGTGCAGTTGATGTGGGGAAAATTTTCTGTCTTGCAAAATGACAAAAACAGTACGGAGGCTCGAAAGAGTTGTCCTACTGTTCGATTAAGGATTTCCGATTTCAGGAAAGTTGTTACGCTCATTCGGGCAAAGTATGAATACATTTAGAACTATGTTATTGGGTAATACTTTAGAAATGTTTATGACGCCATAGCAGTTACCATGGCAACACCTCAAAAGCTCCCTTAATTCTGCATTTTGCTTGTCAGTATTAGAAAAATCTGGAAAGTTAGCTGTATTAAAAAAGGATTTTATAAATTACAAGAAATTCCACCACACAGTTTTTGCAGAAACTATTTGAATGAACATTCTAAATGTTAACCACATGTAAAAAATCAAGGTAGGACACCGGTCCCCTCGATTATTGACAACAATTGATAATAAGTGAGAAAAGATTAAGCTAGTGTGGGAATTCAACCTTTTCGGGGGAAGGGGCAGGGGAATCTTATTGAAATATTATTACAAATTGTTTGTAACTGACTGCGTGAATGGACGTCACTAAAATTATTAAACAAATATATAAGTGAGAACTTACATAATTCTTTAGCAGCCGCGCAAGCACAGGAAATGCAACCCAAAATGCAACCTGTTGCAGATAGTGGGCCAGCCTTAACAGTTGGTGTATTGCTGAGGTTGATCATCAACGAGATCACCACCAAGATGGTAAAGGATTTAAGGCAGACGATCTTCATTGCATTCACTTCAAGTTGACCCAGGAGTTGATTTAGGGCTTGACCATCCAGTGGCAACTGTATTTATAAAGTATTAATAATGTATAGGTTTTGCACGGGCCTGAATTCCATATTTAGACCTTTTAAAAATGTCAGGGGATTTAAATTGTGTAGTTCCAGAAAATATCCATACTCCCCCCACAGAAGGGATTGGAAATTCACACTTGAACTGCACTGCTCTCAGCCAATCAGAATCGAGTATTTTTTCATGTATATTATTAACATTATTAACAAGTGGTCGAAGCGGCTTGCCATTGTGCAATTTCAGCTTTTTGAAAAACTCACTCGTGCAAATGAATTCCAAATTGAATGAGAAAAACCGTACGATATAATACCTATACTAATATTAAAGGACTGTATAATATTATAAATATATGATACAGTTTTATAACGTCAGTGTATTGTCTTCCGGTGTGACTGAGTCTCAAATAGTCAGAGCTTGAGAACCAAAACATAAACGACCAAAACCAGGCCACAACTTGCAGATTGTAAAACTGCAAGGTACCACAAACACAGGCAATGTCTAGCTCATCCTCGGTGTTAAACTCACGAGTGACGTAAAACAAAGACAACAAAGAACCTCGAAACTATACAGAACACAGAAACAATAGCTCAAAAATAAAGAAAAAAGTCACAGGTAAACCCCAATGTCTGTCAGTGCCTCACTTACCCTTCAGAAACAAGAAGGAATATGACTGTTGCAAACAACTTGGGTGCACGATCTCGCTGGCAGCAGGGAGAACTGAAAGTGAGGTCGATGTTTGTTTACAGAACTGAAAGAGAATGATCGCATTTCTGGGATTTTTCCCGTAATCTGTAATAATCTGTAAATAACGAAAGCAAAATCCTTCCGGTCCTTCCGCTATGATCTACGGGCTTCTCCCCAGTCCTTCACGGTATAGTACGACGTCAGTACTGTTGTCGTAGACGGGGGTGGGGTCGGAGTGGAGCCTGCCGACAAAGGTTTCATGCACATTCTAGTGAGGCCTTCCAAGGGGGGTAGCTGTGTCGCAATGTCGCTTGCCTTAGGAGACCGTTGTCGCCTTATCTACAGCTGCAAATGTCGCTGTCGTTTTTTGAAGTGTACGTAACTGTACCAGTCATTTTTGTTTTGCGAGAAACTGTTTCGCAACAGGGCTATAACAGGATTTTCATGGTGGTCAGTTGGCAAAACTTTGTCAGCGGCGAAGGATGAACAGTTCGGGAGTATGCCAGTTTTGGAAGAAGCGAAAACAATGGTCTACGTCACCAACCATAACATGATCACCATAGCGATGGTCATTTTCAAAACATACAAAATGGCGGACAAGAGAGAGGAGAGGAAAGAGTATTGACCAAAATTCTCGTTTATTCGTGTTTTATCGAGCCTTTTATTTGTCTTTTCATTACTATGAATTGGGAAGTACCTTGAGGACAGGGAGTAACCATGATTGCGCTATAGTTCTTCGCTTATCGGGCGCTTAGTAGGCACTGCGTACTCACTGCGTATGTAATCAGTACATCGAAAATAGGTAAGCACGCTAACAAGTTTGTGCCTATTTATTTCATTATTTTTTTATATCATAAGGAAAAAAGAATGCTTTGGAAACAACTAAAAAGTGAGTTGTTCTATAATTCATTTCCTTATGTTTGCTTTCACAGTAAGTGTTAATGGAATTTTTCCCGTTGCTTCTGTTTCTCTCCCGCGAGTGAGCGACTGGCCGGGGAAGACGGCTGTAATTCAGGTTATTGTTTTGGTGCAAGCGAGTCATTTGTGAGTAAAATATCTGTTTTTTGAATATGATGTTCTGTTGGTTTATGTCTTGAAGCTGTTCCGTCCAGGTATACAACAGGTTTACAAGGGATTTCTGAGGGTATTGTGCCCGCGTTTTCTTCTTGAAAACCCACAAAGTGAAAATCTTACTTACCATCCCTGATCATTTTTTTGTCCCGCTTCAAAAAAACCTATTGCTTTCAATTATTCCACTTTCTGAAGTTCACTGATTATTTGGTCAAGCTTAACAAATGCAAGAGGCTCTTTAGAATTTAATATACATATTGGAAAACTAAGAATTATGCTTGTTACATGCTTTTGGATCTATTGATTAAAATGGGATACTATAGTCTTGTAGTCCACCGGATTTGACCAGAGGTGAGAGATCAACAAGGTTATGGTTTGTTATAAAATATCATCTTGTATGGGATTTGATGTTACATCCGAATAATACTAAATTATTGTTTTTAACTCTGGGGTTGCCTTTAAACCAAAGGCATTGTAACTTTGAGGAGCACTTTTCTCCAAGTCTTCTCTGTGGGGACCCTCAAACAATTCTATTAGACAAGGTTTGGCTCAAAATAATAATGATTACTGCACTTGGCATGGAACAACATAACTTTTCCAAAGTTCTTGTTCATAGCTGGTTCTTCATGTTTCTATTGAACAGCACTTTCAAGAAAACAAAGCTCACACATCAGAGTAAAGATACAATAAAAGTTATTTATTGTTACATTTTGTTTTTTGTAAATAAACATTTTATGTTGTGGCATTTTTCATGTTTCAGATTGACCTTTTGCATATCACAGGGACTGAACATATTATGTATTTGGCATCTGTAAAGTATAAACAACATATGACGCGAGGGATTGAACATTATGTAGAGAAAATCTTCACAAGCCTCCACTTCCATGACTCCTTCCTCATCTATCTCCTTTAAAGCCCCTTGAATAAGGGCCACAGTCTCTTCTATGGTTGAATGGTCATTGAGTGTGAGCTTCCACACACGAGGTATATAAGCCCCCCCTCCAACCTGTTTCCCTCTCACCCATTTTTGAAAGGGTCAAAGGAGGGGCTGTGGTGGGTAAGCCTGTGACCACACTACAAAGAAAGAAAAAAACATGTTTAATTTTATTGAGGTAGGGTTGAATTTGGACATTAAATTTTTCATTACAGTGGAACATAAGGCGAACCTAAAGAAATATTTTGCCCTCAGAGCACAAATATGTCGTTCTGAAGGTATTTAGCATTTTGTCTTCCTGGTTCCTTTTCCCAGCTTTTTGGCACAAACGCGACAACATGTTTGTAATATCTCCAGATGTTTGTCTACATTTTAGACGGAAATCCTGATCAAAATAAAAGAAATCAATGTAAGAACCTACTCACACTGAATTAAAACTCATTCGACACACATGATCTGGATCAATAAAGTGATTTCTAGATGAGAGTCGCATACATTGCCGGTGAACACAACCAAAAATAGACCTGATCGATTATAACTAAAACTACATAGACAGACTAAGGCATAACCATCAATATCAGTAACTCTTCCTGTCCGTTGGCAATTTTCAATGTGTGGTTGCCATTTTTACTAGGTTGTTGCCATCGATGAAACTTTGCCTGAACACACTTTACACGTTGTAGTTTTGAGGAAAATTAGTCTTGATTTCGTAAAAATTCGGCAAGATACTGAAAACTAAACATAAAGTCATGTACTTACATTTGATGCCCGTCAAGATGGCGGCGGCGGCGTCGAAGGCCATTTGAAAACTGTCGCTTTTAACTACCGAAATGTGGCATGAAACTTCCCTTGACATTCAAAAAGCAAGGAGAAGGCTTCATCGGTACTGCTAGCTCGGAAATCCCGGATATTGAACGAGGAGACCTGGAACAGGCTTTGAAAAAAGCTCCCTTATTTCTTGCGACTATTTTTTCCTATTTTTGCGTGTTTTTAGCAGAACAATGGAATCATGACGTCACCGCTTCTTCCAAAACTGGCATACTCCCAAACTGATGAACGCTTCTTCTTCTTCTTTAAGGGTAGGCTCCCGCGGGAAAATTTGGAAAATCTGAACCCTCAGAAATGCAATTTGCTGTATTCTGAGTCACTTTTATTGATAAAATGCACAACTTTCCAATGTCACCGTCGTTTTTCACTGTTTAGTATGTCGCTGTCGCATTTAGCAGCGTAGGCATGTCACTTCTCGCTTTTTAAAAATTCCCATGTCACCAGTTTTCAGGGCCGTGTCACATGTCGCTTTTACCCCTTGGAAGGCCTCTCTAGTGCAAGCTCTGATTTGTCAGATCCAAGAGGTGGTTGACAGGCTTGATCGACTTCTCCATTTTACCGACATGATTAGATCAAATTTTGCATATCGCTGAAAATCGTTGTGTAAACATGTCATCTTCTGGCTGTTTATTAGCGGTTTACATCCGGGGAGTGAGGCAGGAAGGCGGGGGGAGGGGGGGGCGGGGGGACTCCCCTATATTAGGTATGTTAAGTATTGGACTCTGTCCAATGGTTGTATAATACGTAGTAGCGATTGTCAATCATTATATGTGCGTGACACGGGCTTGCCAACAGCAAGTGGTAACGTTGCGAGTATGCGCGAGCCGCTGGACGGAAGTTTGTGGTGGTATTGGATCGCAGCGAATGCAGCAAAGAAAAATGGCGCCTCTTTTAAAAATTACCATCGTCTTAGTCATCTGTTCTATCTCTGTGGAGTGCAGATAAGACAAAGTCTTTTTTGTAATATGCGAGATTGGTCTCAAGGCTAATAAGGTGCAGATCATTCACAATTTTGCGCGGTTTGTGGTCCATGAGTGATTATTGTTTCGTGTTTTGGCTGCAAAACTCCTCTATTAAAACACTGGATAACTGGGAAAAAATCTCTTCATGTAAGTTGTGACCGAGTACAAAACGTCCGACGCTTAAGATTTGAATAAAACGCTGTGAAAAAAAATTCTAAATGCTAGTCTGTTTATATAGTCATAATTGCAGTTCTTGTGACAATCTCCTTGCAATAATATGATTTTACGCCAGTTATGGTTCAGGAATGCCCTGTTGTTCAGAAATGTGCAACCTTAGTGCAGTGATTCTGCCAGTGATTACTTTTCAGAGATACCCTATCCTAACCACCAGTGTCCAGACCAGGTGCAGTGCCCTAATTCTGCGACTGATAAAATTTCAAAGATATCCCACCCAAGGCTATGAAATTGTATGTTTCCATTTTTGACTAGATGATATAA